TGTGGGAAAATAAAAAAATTGTTGATCCACATGCTAATAGCTTAATATTTCGGGAATACTGGTAACTAAACTTTATCATGGTATCAGAGCAGGAGTTCAAATCCCTGCAATTGTGACCTTTTCCACATGTTGGCCTTTAGTGATTGAAAGAGGCCCACATGTGAGGGGGTGTTCCAACTTAAACATAATTATTGTCCCACGTCCTACCAGCTTAAGCTGTCGGGTATAAAACTTTCCATATTTCTGCCTCTGAAGTCGAAGTTAGTGGTAAACAAATTGTTGTATTTTGTTCCATGGTTAGATTTAATTCCAATATGAATTCTGTTTCAGAGCCCTCTACCCCTTCCTGCGGGTAAAAGTGGATCCACCTTAAAATAATTCCGAAATCTAGACAGCTTATTCATTCACTTTCATGGTTATCAAAGTTATCATGTTAACTTGGTAAATTTGTGTAGGATGTTCACACTGAACTCATACAATATCGAAGGGCACAAATGATTAAACGGGGCATTGTTCATGAGGAACTAAGCATAGACTCACACTTGCGTAGAGAAAATGGTTCATGCCCTCTGATGCCTGAAGAGGTAAGCTCAGTTCCAACTTTCATATCCAGTGTATGTTTATGTAAGCACTGTAGTGTACTGGTGTTTCCTTCCCCTGGTTTTTTCTGATTTTTAAAATTTTTTTAACAGTGCCATAGGAATTCTTACATATTAGTAGTGAACTTCTTTGCTGATTGTGATTTTAAGTTTCTAGGCACCTAATTCGGAATTGATTTCAGGAGTTCAGCAAAAACAGAACCTCAAGCATTCTTTCATCAATTCCACCCTTAATTTTAAATACTAATATCTGGAGTGAATTTGTATTTCCAAAAAGTTCTGCGTTATATGTTTGATAAGTAGAGAATCCAGGCCAAAAAACAAAAATAGAGGATGGAATGACTTTAGCACTAGTTAATCGAACCCTATCTTATTATAAAATAAAAAAAACTGATTTTAATATTTTTACTTGAAAATTTTTATTTTCGAAGGGGAAAATGATGGAATAGACAATGAATAAGAATTAGAAATGATCCTTTTTAAAGATATCCACTTAAAATGTGGATTTTGGTCACTGTGATTCCGAAATTACCTAGTTGGCTGGCCCTAATTGGGTCATTACCTTCACAGAATGAATTTGTTTTTTTTTAAAAAAAGAAAAAAAGGTGTGGGGAAGAAATACAACTAGAGTTTGGGTTTGCTAATGAAATGCACTGTCTTCTTTCTACATTGTAAATAGTACTGAAAACAAACAAGGGTGTTCATAAATAACGCGGCCGACTTGAAAACAACCTTGTATATTCTCCTTTGTATAATTGTGAAAGCAACCTCAAGCCTATATCTCTTGCCTTGATTAATAGAGAAGCCCAACTCCATGCGTCTGTGAGCAAGCTCGTTACAAGGAAGCATAGAATAAATTTGATATATATATAGATATAGATATATTTAAATATTACAATTTTGTATACGCGCTATATAATGTGATAAATTTGCTAAAGGTGCATCAATGAATCATCTTATAACTTATAAAGTGCAATGTGAGGACTTATTAATTGATAAATCAGCCTATGTAGTTAACTTGACTAAATCTACATTTGATGTCACTTATGTGTAAAGAATAAAGAATGATTCTTTTAGGTGTATGAGGAGGTATTTACTTATTACTATTAGGAACTGAACAAAATAGGGAAAGAAAGAAAAGCTCCCTCTGAAATATGTATGAACCAAGTTTGAAGGTAAAGTTTCTGCTGGTGCATTAGCTCATTTATTCTTATTGGAACTTTCACAGGTTGGAATTCTTCTTCGTGCAATGGGGTATCCTCCTAAAACAATTGTATATTTGGCTGGTTCTGAAACATTTGGGGGTCAACGTGTTCTGGTCCCTTTGCGTGCCATGTTTCCCAACTTAGTGGATCGCACTTCTTTGTGCAGCAATAAAGAATTGTTGGATATACTTGGACCTGAAACGCCTCTTCCTCTAAATCCTTTTCAACCTCCTCCAGCAAAAAGTGAGGCACAACTTAAAGAAGAATGGAAGAAGGCTGGTCCTAGGCCTCGGCCTCTTCCTCCACCTCCTGGTAGACCTATCTATCAACATGAAAAAGAAGGCTGGTATGGTTGGATTACTGAGACTGCCACCGAACCAGACCTTTCAGCTGTGGATCTAAGGATGCAAGCACATAGACTAATTTGGGATGCTCTTGACTATATTGTCTCCGTGGAAGCAGACACATTCTTTCCTGGCTTTAATAACGATGGCAGTGGATGGCCGGATTTTTCAAGCTTGGTTATGGGACACCGTTTGTATGAGACTGCTTCTTCTAGAACATATCGACCAGACAGGTATGATTAGATGGACTTGAAAGTAATTTCATGAAGTTTGAATGACCCATTAAAATTGATTTAGTCAATGTTTCAAATGGCATATGAATGATTTTGGGGTAATTTAGCTTAATTTATTCTACAATGCCCCAAGTTCATTTGAATCCTAAAAGGCCACTGGTGGGTGGGTTTGGGTTGGTGGAGAAGGGAAAGAATGGTTTAATGGTGATTGGTTAATAGTATACTTCTATTCGTACATTTCAAGAATTTACTTCTTTATTTAGTTTTTTGATAGGTAATTGTGAGGATTTATTGAAAGTTGTTGGTTTGCATACATGATTTTGGACCTCTTCTTTGTATTTTTTTGTTTTTTGTAAAAGGATAATAAGGTGAACACAAAATGTTTTTTCCTTTGCAATATCATGTACTACATGGGGCATATCTGCATGCTCAATTGTGTGTATATTCACGCACACACAGATGGACATATATTTGTCGGGGTGTGGGTCTGGGAAATACATGCGACCTCATTAAAGCAATATATTGAAATATACGTGTTCGCTTCCGCTTTGAAGTGCTATATTAACTTTCTACTTTCTTGAATAGTTAGCTGATTCTCTTTAATAAAATAATAGTTTTCAGAGAGCCTGTGCTGATGTTTAACCATTTCCATAAGATTATTGGTTGCAAAAGGTTAAAAATTGTCTGCATTTTACTTCTAGGAAGAGCTCTTGTTTAACAAATAATTCTTGTTTGTACGTAATAGAAAAAACAAGAATTTTATTATTCGACTTTGTGTGATAAATATTCTTATTTGACTTTGTATGTGCTCTTTTCGAACAGGAAAGTTGTAGCAGAACTTTTCAACATGACCAGGGACAATGTATACCATCCCAAGCATAATTGGACACTCTCGGTGCAGGAACATCTTAAGAAAAGCTTAGGTGAGGAAGGCCTAATAAGGCAATCCCTTTTGTCGAAGCCAGGCGTATTCATTTCACACCCACTTCCCGAATGCTCTTGTAGAATATCTTCTGCCGAGGTTCCAGTTCAGGTAAAAGGTAATGACGGACGAAGTGTGCATGGAGGCGAAGAAGAGTGCCCCAAGTGGATGCAGCATGGTCAGGAAGTTCCTTTGGAATCGGCTGGGGAAGAGGATAAAGTGGAGGACAATGAATTGTCAGAGTACGGAAGTACTCTGGTTGAGCAACCAGAATCAAATGACAGTGACAGAACTAATACTAGTCTAGTCTTTGATCAGGATGATGAAATGGACCCGAATGACTAAAATTGGATTTCCATATGATACAAGTTCTTTTTACTGTAAGGCGGCATCAGTTTCCATAATTTTCTTCTGAAATGGAAAAGTTTTGGAGGTAGAGTAATACTAAGGTTTGATTCCCGGTTCCAACTTTGCCATTTGGAGAGGTATAGTGATGCAGAATGCATATTATTAGTTTTCCTAATTCTACTTGGATTAGTTTTCCTATTATTAGTTTTCCTAATTCTTAAAGATTCCTTCATAGGAAAGGATTTCTTTTTAGTTAATTTGCTTTCCTATTTCTTAAAGTTTACTTTTCCTTTTCCTAGACTAAAAAGGGTTTTGTCTCTATAAATAGAGTTGTTTGTAATCTTATAAGGAGACTTGATTAATGATAAATTTCCTTACTTTAAACTCTCTGATTTCTTCCCTTTCCCTTCGTCTCTTCGATCTCTAATTCTTCTCCTCGATCCCTTATTTCTTCTCTGTTCTAATACTCAAGTATTTACTCTAAATCTACGGGCTGTTCTACATCATATAGGTATTCAAACATATTCTTTGGGTCGATTCTTGGGTTTACTATAACAACAGGAGTTATTGGTGTAGCTTACTGCGAAATGAGGATCGGGTAAGATCAATGAACTTGGGGTAAGCTGATCAGAGTTTGTACACCTTTTTAGCCATATTGAAGCTTTTCAACCATAGGACTACATGTTAGATAAGCCACCTGTGTAATATTTATTATTTTTTATATTTTTTATAGAGAACAAATGACAAGTACACTGAATGATTTACTGCGGATCTTTTGTTAAATTTTTGTTGGAAATTGATTCTTTTGTTGGTTTCATTTCCTGTCAAAATGAGCTTTGCTTTGACAGCAAGTCACAATGGTTTGTTTATACGCGGTTGAAGTTGGATGCCGCATTTCGGTGGAATCTTGGTTGTTTCTCCTTTTTCACGGGCATGAATTACTTTGAAGCTTTATGTTGTTTTGTAGTGAATAGTGATGCAGCATCTCCATAGTGAAGGGATCAAGCTTTGGAAATTTACGGATGAGCTTCTATGTTGATATTTGGTACTTGCAAAATTATTTACCCAAGAAAGAAATTATTTACCCAAGAAAGAATATTGACAGCTCAAAATTTCAGGCACATCTTCAACTAGAGCTAGTTATCTCTAACAGCACAAAGTTGAAGCACTTCCATGTAAAAAGGTAAAAATACAAATCGGAGCAACCGCATGATTCCTTAGAAGAAACACAATTAAATCCAACTTTAATTTCATATAGAAAGCTCCAAGAGAGTCCTAAATAATTGTTTACAAACAAACCAAAACTCGCAGTAACTTAAACCAAGTACATGTCATCACATTGTTAATTGTTACTCATGCAAACTTGCTTGCTACAGCTTACCATTATTTGCAGTACCCTAACAAACACTCACCAGAATGGGAGGTTGTTGTAATCTTAGTTTCATACAAAACATTAGCTTCCACATGTAAATAAAACATAACTGATTAGTTTTATTCATTACTATTAACACCCTGTATTCACACAACATATAAATATAACATAGATTGCAAAGTATGGACCATGGAGAGCTGAAATGCACTACCACAGAGGTTTTATGCTGCATCAGTGGCTGCCAGTGCCGCATCTGTTTGCCTCTCAGCAAGAGTGAGACTTTCACCTTCAGCTTCTTTTATCTGCCTCATGATGTCTAACTTTGTTTCAGATTAGTTTTATTCATTACTTTTAACACCCTTTATTCACACAACATATAAATACAACATAGATTGCAAAGTATGGACCGTGGAGAGCTGAAATGCACTACCACAGAGGTTTTATGCTGCATCAGTGGCCGCCAGTGCCGCATCTGTGGGCTTCTCAGCAAGAGTGAGACTTTCACCTTCAGCTTCTTTTATCTGCCTCGTGATGTCTAACTTTGTTTCATGAAGGGCTTCTATTTTGCCATTAATCTTCTCTAGCTTCTGTTTCAACTTTCCAACATCCTTGGACTTGTCCTTCTTATCAACTTTTCTTTTCTTCTCGCCCTTCTCCTTTTCATCTTTGTCTTTCTTCTCTTTACCCTCCTTTACTTCATCTTTCTGGCTCTGTTCCTCCATTTCACCCTCTGATTCCTTGACATGTTCCTCTATTTCAATCTCCCTAGAAGTAACTTCAACCTTGGTCTTTTCCTCATCCTCTACATTATTGTGTTTCTCCTTACTCTCCTTCTTGTCTATTTTCTCTTCTTTTTTCTTGTCCTTCTTCTTCTTGTTGCCATCATCATCACCCTTGTGTTTCTTCTTTTTATCATCTTTGTCTTTCTTCTTCTTCCCTTCTTTTTTGCTGTCATTGTCTTTTTCCTCATCCTTTTTCTTCCCCTTCTCATCATCATCACCCTTGTGTTTCTTTTTTTTCTCCTCCTCATCTTTCTGCTTCTTCCCTTTTTGTTTGTTGTCATCGTCTTTTTCCTCATCCTTTTTCTTCTCCTTCTCATCATCATCACCCTTGTGTTTCTTCTTTTTGTCCTCCACATCTTTCTTCTTCTTCCCTTCTTTTTTAATGTCATCGACCTTTTCCTCATCATTTTTCTTCTCTGTTTCATCATCATCATTCTCATGTCCCTTCCCATCCTTCTCTTTCTTCTTCTTCTTATTCCCTTCATTTTCCTCATCCACATTATCCGCATCCTCCTCTTTTTTATCTGTGTCCTTCCTTTTCTCTTCATCTTCTTTCACCTTGACCTTATCCTTCTTTTCCTTCTTCAACTCTTTTTCATCCATATCTTTCTCTTTGTGTTTATAATCATCCTTGCCTTCAATCTCTTCTTCCCCTTTGTCTAAATCTTTACCCTTTTCCTTCTTCTCTTTTTTATTTTTCTTCTTTTTATCTCTTTCTTCCCCCTCTCTATCATCTTCTTTATCTTCTAAGCCTATAATATCTTTGTTCTTCTCCTTTTTCTTCTTCTTCTCTTCCTTATCCTTCTTTTTATCCCCGTTGCTCTCTTTCTCTTCCTTGTCCTTCTCTTTGCCACTGTTGTTTTCTTTCTTCTTTTCCTTCTTGGTTATGTCTTTCTCCTTCTTCTTTGATTTCTCCTCGTCTTTATCAATATGTTTCTCCTCATCCTTTTTATGTTTTGGCTTCTCTTTTACCACTGACTTGGTCTTTAATTCAAGTTCCACCTCAGCCTTCTCCTTCTTTAAGTCACCTGGTTGTGCATCCTTGGTCTTGATCGCTACATGGGATTCTTCCTTTTCAACCCTTTCTTCCCCTCTATGTTCAATTTTGTCTTCCATCTCCAGATTATATCCTAAAATTGTAAACGTTAAACTGTTTCCTCTGGACCTGAGATTACCCGAAACAAATGTAAATGTAAGACGAGTAATCTGAGAACAAATGCAGTAGAATATGAAAATCCTAATACTTGGTGAATTATAAAATCGCATAATTAACAAGAACAAGAAAAGCCATTGTGTTTGCCTAAATAAGAATAAATTGTTTACGTCTAACTATTAGAGCTCGGTAGTCAGCACATCACAGCCAATGCTTAAACAATTGGAAGATTACAGATATTTCATCTACATGTTTTACAATAAAAATGCAAGCTAATGAAACTTATATTCCTTTCTTCAATCCTCATGAAAAATCGACCCAAAGAGTCTTCCAAAGAGCTTAGATGTCGGAAAAAGTTATGCATATCTTTTGTGGCAAGCAAAAACGAGACAAAGAGGCTATACACATGTACTAATTAAAATAAATATTTAAGCTTCAAAATATGCAGTTTTGACTGATCACTGCTAGAAAGTTATATCAAATGTCTTGTCTTTTTAGTATATAGTTCCTAGAATATTACTATAGACTGACTATCAATTTTGGTGTGCAAAACTGACAACTTGAAAAGGTATGGAGGATGGATCTCAAGCAATGAAAAATTTCAAAGATGTGAAATTCGGTAGGACTGCAAGATTGGATTATAGACCATACATTCTGCTTTGTTGCACACACTAGTTCCTGAAAGCAAAAGTAAGGCTCTCCCCAGATAAAAGGGGATTCTTTCATCTACTATGATATGATTGGTTCTGAGGAGAAACTATCACTCTATCCAAGTTTGCTACAAACAGGAATTTTGAGGCTTGTCTAGTCTACAAAATATCTTAGCAAAAGCATTAGAATCCCGTGGAAAGCCGTATTCGATGACAGTCGTATGTATGGCTTGGAGAGATTAATTTCAGTTGATTTTGTTATAGCCTATATTCTTTAAACATTAGGGGGTTTCTTCCAAATTGACTTTTATTTTTGATTTTCAACACAAAACACATTTTGACCCCCTGAAACTTGAATGAAGGAACTCTTTTTGGTCCTTCACTGGTATATATATATATTTTTTTCTAAACAACGGTTTGAGTACAGAATACGTAAAGTATTTTATAACTTTTTCTCTACATTCCCACTACACAAAGTAAGTAAATAGGTTGATAAAATCAAACTAAACTGATAAAAGAAAGAAGAAGAACAAAGAAGCCATTTACAGATTCAAGAGAGAGAGAGAGTGCACTTGAATAGTAAGGGATTAAGGATCTGTACTTGCTCAACCATCTAATTGTGTGCTTAAATTGTGAAACCAGTAAGTAAACAAACCAAGATGAATACAAAAATATAGGCAAAGCTTCTGCCTCACATCAAGTAAAAGCAACAACAACAAAACTTCAATTCTCATTCACAATTCCAAAGTCAAAGTAGCAGCAGCTAGACCTAGAGTGATTTGCAAGAAAAATTGGCAATAACTCCAATTCTGTGTGTACCTTAATTTGTGTTTCCTCAAAGGAAAAGAAGAACCCAATACAGATTGCTGTGTTGTGTTTGTAAGTAACAGTGAGCGAGAGAGAGAGAGAGAGAGAGAGAGAGTGGTTTTGCAGGTTAGCTGAATGTGAAAAGTGGTGTGTATATATAGCCTATTACGAATGAAGGCTGTTTGGGCATTGATTACTTCACTGGTAGCCACCTGTCAGTTTATTCGTCAACACGGCAAGGACCGAAATTTTACGCGGATGGACCTTAACCTTTGCGTACGTATCCATGGTTTATGGTTGTGTCTTTAACTCCCTCCCTTCCTACGTCGGTTCTTTCTTCTCCAACACTTGTGACAGCTGTGACTTCACAAATATAACACTTCTGACGCGGATTATTGGAAGTTTCATTTCATTATTTACTGTAGTGCCCTTGAAATTAGGTGATTCATTTTACTCTCCTGCCTGACCAACCATTTTATCATCTACTCTCAACTTCATCCAAAAATCTATTAATTTTGATGATGTGACGTGAATATTTTGGTAAATTTACACACTTGAGCCAATTACTTGTCAAATTCAGCGACTTATCTGGCAAATTGGAGCCCACATGTTGAATGTGGGTTTTGCTCGCGTAATTTTGCCCCAAATTGGGGAGATGATGATGAAATTGGTCCTACTTGTGAGTAGTTATAGTGTAGTATGGGAATACGGTCACGTTGTATAACTTGTGTTGTGCTTTTTCACCGTGACATTCAGAATTAACCACACCACAATATAAACCACACTTGGATAGAATAATATAAACAAGAAATAAAAATAGTGCACAAGAGATTGACAAGGTTCAGCAAAATCATGCCTACATCCCCTAATAGAGTACTTCACTATGAGAATACTAACAGTATAAGATACACTTGAGTTAAATCAACATAACCCAAACCCGAAACCTTTGTACACCCACTCACAATGTTTACCAAGAACTCTATCTCTCTCACCCACATATTTCTCCGTACTCTCTAACTTTCTCATGGAATGCAACCAACACAAAACAAGCTACACTTCTATTTATATACAAGTCTTGAGTGGGCACCAAGCTAGGGAGAAGCGTTTTCAACAAGCTTCCTTCAATATGAAGACTTTACCTCCTGACAACTCTTACCAAAGCCATCATTGCATGAAACTACCACTTGATGCACCGCCTATTAGCTGCACCAAAAGTCAAGGATTGTTGCACCATCTTTACCTTGTAGCTTATCCGACACTTTTAACTTCTGGGTCTAATATTCCTTAAAAGAGGGAAATATCAAGGGAGTTTTGGTTTAAACTCAATAAGAAGTTTATTATTATGGTAGATAATAACCCAATTTCACCTAATCTAGCTAAGGTCAATGACTAAAATATAGGGAGCTGATTTTCCCACTCCCCTTTTCTCCACTTGCACTCCCTTCTGCTTTTTAATGATTTTTCATCAATTTTTTCTTTTTTGTTCTTTTTCTTTCCTATTCTACCCTTACCCTACTTTATTTCTTTTTACTTCACTTTTATATCATTTCTTTTCCTTTATACTTAATTTTTCAACTTGCAAAATTATATTTTTCCTTTCATCAAGTAAGAAATAATTAACACTGTATATTTGTCTAGGCAAAATTATATAGTCCACCTGTTACAAAAACACATGCCCACAAATAAACCTTGCAACCATAGGGAATTTTTTTTTTTTTTTTTTGGTGAATAGGCAAAATATTTCTTTAGTGATCCATTTGCATCTGGCATCTGGCATCTCCCACTCTTGAACTAGGAAATAGTGATCGGAAGAACTCCACCGAACAATTTTAATCCTTTGTATCCATTCGAGAACAAAATATAAATATTTACTTAGATGCTTCATTGGGTTGTTCAGATAACATGGGAAATAAAAGAAAGCAAAATACTTAGCTCCATTGGCATGTTCTTTTTTTGGTCAATAGCTGAAATTTCATTGAAAGCCAGAAAAGATAGCTAAATAGAGATAGCAACAAGAGCAACAACCAAAAAGTATAGACAAAACCATCGTGGTTGCCAAAAATTTAGCTTCATTAACCAAACTATATCATTCCATACAAGCGCAGAGAAAAGCTATAACCACAAAAAAGATAATTTAGCTCCATTAACCAAACTGTATCATTCCATACAACACTTCTTCCTTTTGTTAAAAAAAGACATGTGAAATAAGGATGAATCCATCCATCCACTTCAAAATACCTACAAGAAAGAAGACTAATTAATTAACAAACTAATTGATCTCTCATAATATTATTTACTACTATAAAATTTGATGAGATACAATTCCCTTTAATAAGAAGACATGTACAATTACTTTGAAAATTATGAAAGAATAAAAATCTGAGACTAATATGCATAAGAAGTACCTTGCTCTTTGCATATCTAAGCTCCTAATGACAATTTGGTTAGTAACATTCTTTGGTTCTTCTACCTGTAAATATGTTAGCTGAAAAAAATTATTATCTATTAACTACAACAAAGATAAATAGTACTCACATACTTGATAAAAAAAAATAAAGAATTTGGCATACAAATACTTACATTTCTATCCATTTCCAAAAGGTAGAAATGGACAAGTACTTTTATTGTGACCAACACCTTTGCAAACACTACATTTACGAGAATTTTCAACTATCTCAAATTTTGAAGGTTCACGCCTTGTAGAGCTAGATTCCTTTCTCTTCTTTGACCCTAGTGGACGTCCTTTATGAGGTTGAATCTTAGGCTCCAGAATTAAGGGAAAAGAAGTACCAACAAATTGAGATAGTTGTCTCCTTGTATCATCTTTTTGAAGAATGGGCAGTTTTTCATTCTTTTCTTTGAAGTCCAATAGAAGACTATTTATTTGATCATCTTCATCATCCAAACTTGCATGTTGATCATTGTTAAACAATCGTGCATCGATCCTCCACTGATTATGTATGGCATTTAAAGGCAATACTTGAATTTTCATATCCTTAATCATGTGTCCACAAGGAATACCCATCATTTTGAAAAAATGGCCTGTGCATTGAGATGAAAGATTACCATATTTTGCAGCTTCATGTTGCTTGTATAACTCATTTAAAGCAAACATAGATACATGAGTAACAACTTCTTTAAAGAATGGAATCCGAAGTCTATGTGGAACACGAACCTTTTCACTTGAGAGTTGAGTTTTGATTTCTTGAAATTGATGTTCAATAGCAAGACATATTTTTTCTTTTACCTCACGAAGACCTCCGGTTGAAACTTGAAGATACCTCTTTAGTAATGCATGTGCACCTTCAACTCTTGAAGTAGCCCGATTACCAAAGTGTGCAACATCATCTGTCCATGCACTCACAAATTTTTCTTTCAATGGCAGCCAAGTACCTCTAATATAGTTCAAAACAGTTGCATTCTCCTTGTACTCTTTTTCAAAATGATCCCAAGCTTTATCGAATGATGATTCATTTGGAGATTTGATTAAATCAGCCCAAGTAGATAGGAAAGCAACCCAATCAACTTCTTCTCTAAAATGAGGTTTACAATTTGCAAGAATGTTTTTCTCAATATGCCACACGCATAACAAATTACAAGCACTTGGGAATACAATGCGTATAGCATTCATTAAGGCCAATTCTCTGTCTGATATGATCACCAATGGCTGATTATGAACTCCCAAAATTTTATTGAACATTTCTAGAGCCCACACATAATCCTTCTCTTCTTCTTTTTGCATGAAGACAAAACAAGAGTAGAATGAAGTGTTGAAACTTGAAACTCCTATTATATCCAATAATGGCATCTTATACTTATTAGTTTTATAAGTGCAATCCATCAAAAAGACATGTGGGTAACTCTTACTCAATTCAATTGACATAGGATGAGCAAAGAACAAATGAGTCAAATGCCCTTCTTGGTCATACTCAATGTTATAAGAGAAACCACCTCCACCAAGTTCATCCAATAATGCTTGAATAACCGTACGTCCTGCTAGGCTCTCCTCCAAAATTTTAGCCTTCTTATTGTAAATGTTTCGGGAAATTGCTAGAAGATGAGGATTGCTCTGTCGAAGTGAAGAGAGAATTTGGCGCGGTGGTATGCCAGCCATACTCATCTCTTTAATCCACATAATTTCCTCATTTGAAAATCGACGACAATAGGGATGTCCAGACATGTCCGTTGAAGGTTCATGATTATGCAACAAACTTTTAATCTCCAACTTCCAAAATCCTTGAAGTTTCCTTTTCTTTTTGCCCCAAATTTCAAATGGACAGTTTATGAGGCGAGATGCTGATTTCTTTTTTCTTTCCTCTAGTGGAACTCTTCTACTTTTATAATTACCGCCTCTATCACAACCAAGGACAACATATTTCTCAGATTTAGATCTTCTAATAACCAGTGCATACCCTTGCACAAAGGCAATCTTACGAGCAACTTCAATGAGGTCTTCCCGACTTCGAAAATTTTTGTTTGTCAAAGAGAGCATTTTGTCACTTTTATCAATCGATGCTTCACTGCCTATATCACAAACCATCCAATTTATATAAAACATAAACTACACATTGGCTACAGCTATGAAGAATGTTTATGCTTCACTGCCTGTCACATATTAGTTAAGAATGAATATATATGACAGAAGAGGTACTACTATGAGACATTTCGTCAAGCAGCCGGTAGGCGCCTCCAAAGGATCGCACCAGCAGGTCACCACGACCTCTACCCAAGGGCAAAAATAAAGAGATAGCAGTACCACTAATTTAAACTTGTCTATGTGTGCACATGAGAAGATAAGCGGGCAAAAGAAAATCAGCTCCCTAAAAAAAACCATCAAAATTGAATTGCAATTCATCAGAGCACCAAGTATTTCGTAAAACTCAACCTATGAATAAGATAACAGGTAATGCTCAGCAAAGTGAATTTCTTTTTAATACAGAAACATCTTCTAGAGTTCAAAAAGCTTCCTTTTGGACACAGATGTAAACCATCAATGCTCAGCATCTCCCCACAAGGTTAACAAATACGTTATGAAAAGGTTAAACATAAAGATACACACACATACATAAAACCAATATGCTAATTCACTGCTAATAATCAATAAAGTTAGATTAAGTAAGAAATAAAACGTACCATGCACAATATCTTGA